TGTCTTCAATCCCTGAGCTCCACCCCCCATAGCACTACCTCCTCCTCCTCCCTGAGCCAACTGGGGCTTCTCCTGGGGGTTCTGGAGCACAAGTTTGGGTCTCCGTTGGACCTCACAGATAGCAAGGGTTAAGGGACAAGAAAGGAAATAATTCTGGCCTGGGAGCCAAGACAGGGGTTGCAATTCTGACTCCATGCGGAGCTATGTCAGAACCACCCAGGTAAACCAGAGATGAGGGGTGGGCAAGCCCCCTCCCTCCTGAAACTGGTGCTCTGAGATATCCTACTCATGGCCAAGGACATGGCCCCAGAGACCTTGGGACCAGACAAAGAGGGGTGAAAGGAATAACTCTGATTGAGCACCTACTACATGCCCGGCTTCCCCAGGCACTTGAATCCATCACTCTAATCCTCATAGCATCTCTGCACATTTCAGGCAAGGAAACAGGTCAAACAGAAGGAAAGACTTGACGAAGGCACAGAGTGAAGAAGTGGTGGGATTTGAACCCAGGACTCTCTGATGCCAAAGCCCATGCTGTTTCTGTGGAGGTGTGGGGGGCATCTCCTCCCAGGATGTCCAACTTCTGCCGATTTTGCCTGGGAGGAACACAGCATCATCCTTGCTGCTTCCTCCTGGGTGTCAGTCTCAGCACAGGCACAGTGAGTCCTGGAGGGGACATGCCAGCTACACAGAGCAGGTTTGAGTATTTCCCTTCCACATACTAAGATGTAACCTGGGGAAAGGCATTCAGCCTCTTTGTGACTCAGTTTCCTCACCAGTTCAATCGGGGATTGTGTCTAGGGCATCAGTTCTTAGCCTTGGGTGCTCTTTAGAATCACTGTGGGAGCTTTTTTAAGTACCTTTGCCTATGCTCCATTCTTAGCCTTGGGTGCTCTTTAGAATCACTGTGGGAGTTTTTTGTTTGTTTGTTTGTTGTTTTTGTGTTTGTTTGGGTTGTTGTTTTTTTTTTGTGGGAGCTTTTTAAGTACCTTTGCCTATGCTCCACCCCCGAGAGAGTCCTATTGAATTGGTCTGGGTGGGGCTCAGCATCCGGTTTATTTTACGGCTCTTAAGAGGTTCAAGTGTGCAGCCAGGCTGCGAACCACTGGTTTCTGTGCTCTCCCAGGACCAGCCTTTCTCATGTAACATTCCACATGGAGCCCTGGGCGCTGATTTGCTGTTTGTCCAAGAATCACTTTGGCAACCCTTCCTATGCCAGACTAGACTTAGGCTCTCCAGCTCAGGTAGCAGAAGGGCTGGCCGGCAGCACCATGGACAGCGGACGTTTCATCCTGGTTTCTGGGAGTCTGGGCTTGAAAACTAACTATTGGGGACAGGACGTTTCATCCTGGTTTCTGGGAGTCTGGGCTTGAATTAAACTAACTATTGGGGAGGGAGAATGCTCAATACAGCTCCCTTCTCTGTCCTCCCCTTCCTTTCTCTCACTCTTCCCTCTCTCTCACTCTCTGTATAGTTCTACTCTCATTGACCCCCCCCCTCTTATCCTACCTTATAAGGTAGGATACATGTGGGTTTTGACATCAGATCGACCTGGGTTTGAATCCTACCTTCCGTATTTCCTTGCCAGGTGAATTTAGCCAGGCACTGTCCTTGGTTCAGAAAATAGAAATCTGCGTTCTCAGAACAATCCTGAGAGCTTGGTAGTACTATCACCCTCATTTCACCAATGAAGAAATTAAGGCAGGGTGTTTCACTGCTTTATTTGGCCTCCATTTCCTCATATGTAAAGTGGAAATTTTAATAGAGCTTACTTCAAGGCTTTATTATATAAATCCTATAAGATAATATACACAAAGGGTTTACCAATATCCAACGCAAAGCAGTCATTCAATAAGCACAATATATCATTATCATAAAATAATGATATATAATGATGGATTTCATTTTTACTCATTATTAATTCGACATTTTCACTCTTCACTATGCATAGCAGTTTTCTCATCTGTAAAATGGGAATACAGGATTGTACTGGATCATCTCGTATCAGGCCACCATCCCCAGAGTCACTGTGCCTTCCTCAGCTCACAAGAGCCAAGTATTGCTCTTCAGGAGTTTTGTGAGCCTCTTGATATCACATTGGTAGCTTGAAATTGGCCATGGCGGGAGTATTTACACCATGAAAATCAGCAAACGCTACAAAGTAGGGCATTCCTTCCTGCCCCTCCACCCCCTGGAGCTGATGGTTAAACATGAACCAGCACACCACTGCATCACATCACAGAGGGCATGAGGACTGAAGGAGGGAGTGGACGTGATGGTGCATTGTAAACTTCAAGCTGCTGAACCTAGGAGGGATGACCTGAAGATGGTCCCCCAGCAACTACAGTCCTGGCACCCTCTGTCAGTTCTGGGGAGCTGCTGACTTGCAAAGAAGGTGGGAGGGGTGTGGGTCCTGGGGAACAGTTGTGAATCACTGACCCTTCACCATCCCCACATGTTGGCATTAACTGTAATGGCTGCAATAAAGAATCCCAGATTGGGGAAATGATTCTATCATCCCTGCGGGAATCTCTGGGATGCAGCCAAGATTGGGGAAATGATTCTATCATCCCTGCGGGAATCCCTGGGATGCAGCCAGGGAGAGGGCGAGGGCGAGGAGAAAGAGAGAGAGAGAGAGAGAGAGAGAGAGAGAGAGAGAGAGAGAGAGAGAGAGAAATCAGCCATATCCATGGGGAATCACTTGCCGAGGGGAGGGACAAGGGGACCCTCTCTGATAACAGTTACAATAGCCAGTGTTTACTGAGCACCCACCAGGAGCCTGATGCTTTATGCATCTTCTTCCATTTCAGTATGTCTGCGAGGGGGCATAATTGTGCCATTGTGTACTGGCATGCAGTGCCTCCTGACTCGGCAACAACCTGCATTTATTGAGTCCTTAGCATGGGCCAGACACTGTCCTCCGTGCTGAAAAATTGAAACCTATTTGAAATCTCAAACCGATCCCAAGAGTTTGGTAGTACTGTCACCCTAATTTCACAAATAAGAAAATTGAGGTACAAATGGTTTTGTGCTATACCCAAGGTCAAACTGGCAGTAAGTGGCAGAGTCATACGGATTGTGGTTCAGTACATCAGGCCACCATCCCCAGAGTCACTGTGCCTGTGCTGACTCTGACAACCAGAAGGTCTTTGGCCTCTGAGAATCCTGAGTTCAAATATCACTCCTTCCTCAGTCTGTACCTTCAGTCAAGTCTTTTCTGTTCTTTTACCCGTCTCCTCACCTGTAATTATGAGGGGCCCATTCTGCCTCTCAGAGATGCTATGAGAATTAGAGATGATGAATGTAAGTGGCTGGTGAAGCCAGGCATGTAATAGGTACTCAATAGTTTATTCCTCTCTCCTCTCTCTGTAGAATGGGGTGGAGGCGCCTGGGACCATGCTCTTGGCCCTGAGCAGGAAACCCCTGAGCGCCAAGCATCAAGAGGGAGGGGGCTTGCCCGAACACCTCTTCCCCAGCTTCTCCTGGGAGCTCTGACATGGTTGACATGGAGCTGGAGCCACCAAAGAAAGAGGCGCATTGCAGAGCAGGCTTAGGAGGCTCGTGGGAGGGAGGACATGAGAGGGAAATGAGAAATGCAAAAGAGTGAAAAATAAATACACGTGTCTGTCTGGAATGATCGAGGGCCCCAGGCTGGAGGCGGAGAGGCCGGGCTTAGCAGAATTGCTGCAGTAGCATTTCCCAAGCCTCACTCATTAGCCAGGCAGTGAGCTGGCCTCCCCTCCCAGCACACTGCCCTACTGGCCCAGAGAGCCGAACCTAGGCCCAGGAGGACCCTGCTCAGAACCCCAGGAGGCCTGGGCCCTTCCCCTCACCAGCATGGCACTCAGAAGAGGGCATCTCCTGGCAGTGAGGTCTGAGTCTTATCCCCTTGGGTCATGTCCTGGGCCCGCTACCCTCCCTCTTGGGTCTTTCACCTCACCCCCTCCTTCCTGAAAAGGTTCAGATAGACCAGATGGCTTTTCTGTCCCCCCCGTAAACCCTCTCCCCACTCTAACCCTCACCCCATCCTGTCCAGCCTCACGTCCCAAGCCCTGCTTTTGTCAAATTGAACATGATGTCAAATTAGAGCCATCTCTGGGACAGGCCGAGAGGAGCTCCCAGTTTAATGAGGCAGCGTCGAAAATCAATAACTTAATTGCCACTGTTTGATGGACTTTTATCCAATTTATACTCTCCCCAGCAGCCTACGTGCGGAGCATGAGAAGTGTGTGTGTGTCTGGGGGTGGGGACCATCTGCACGGGGGGGTGGGGGGATTGGGGAGGGGCCAGGAAGGCACCAGGGCCCACAGCCAACTATTTCCCAAAGGGGAAGCTGGGCACTGCCATTCTCCTTCCACAGGGACCAAGAGACAGACACTGGCCTCTGAGTCCCAATGAACTTGGCTGTCCTTCTGAGCTGCCCCCTCATCCTGCCACAGGATTGGGGGTGGGGGAAGTGGGGGTGAGGGCATGGGGAGGACGGAGGCAGAATTCCCTTGAGAAGTGCGGAGTGTGTAAGAGGACCCCTGCTTTGGGAATCAGGTGCCTGGTTTCCAGTCCGAGCTCTGACTCTGACTGCCATGACCTTCCTTGGTGACAATGACCGTGACCACCACCCACTGAGAGACATGTCTGCTCAGAGCTGTTCTGCGCTGGGAGTTTAGAACGCATTCCCTCATGCACCAACGACTAGAATTTCCCCATTTTGCTGGAGAGGAAACAGATTCAGAGGGGCTGCCTTCCATCGCCAAAGTCCCAGAGCTGGGAACCAGGGAAGGGAGGTCTGAACAGAGATCTGGCTCCGGGTTCCTGCTTGTGTCAGTCACTAGCGAGGCCCTTGGTCAGGAAGCAGGTTGGGACTCAGTGGGGGGACAGGGCCTGGCTTCAATGTTCCCCAGCCTGGGTCTCCTCTCCCAGCTTCCTTCGGGGTGGGAAAAGGTGGGGGGGATGAGTTCAGTGGCCCCAGGTGACCCCTGTATCGCTTGGTCCCCCGGGCCCAGGCACATCGGTGATGCAGGTGATGGCCTCGGATGCGGATGACCCGACGTATGGCAGCAGCGCTCGGCTGGTGTACAGCGTGCTGGATGGAGAGCACCACTTCACGGTGGACCCCAAGACCGGTGAGGGGCGGGGCCGGGCCAAAGGGGCGGGCCAACAAGGGGCGGGGCCTGGCGGGGCCAGTGGGGTGGGCCTGGGCCGAGGACCACACGGGGTTGTGTGCTCAGCCTTCTAACCACAGGGCGCTGAGGGTAGGATGGAGGACACAGAAGCATTTTGCCCGCTCCAGGAGACCCAAGGGACGGGGAAGGGGCAGCCGGACAGGAAGAGGGAAGGACTGAGAAATAAAAGAATGGGGCGGAGGGCACCTGCAAGACTGGCAGAAAAACAAAGGCTGGGGGCGGCCACTGTGGGCGCCTGAAAGGACTTGGGAGGTCCGAGCGAGGAAGCAGCCCCTTGTCCTTGGAGCTAAACTGAGGCAGGCGTGTCATAGTGAATGTCGTCTGGGGGAGGTGGGCTGGTGAAGGCACCTTTTCAGCAGTTAGGAGAGCTCTGTTCATAGGGCAGTCATTAAGGATCCGACAAAAAGACAGAAACCCACTGTTAAGGAAGAAAAGGTTCTCTGCTATCTACCCTCCTCCAACCACACCAGACGATGCCCCACCTCACTCTGAGGTTAGAGCCTGGTTCCTTCCCGGGGGGCCTG